AACCTGTATGACTTTGTTTCCTCTGTGGAAAGCAACATCAATTAATAAGCTGATATTCCAAGTTGCTCTTTTCCGTACACTGTTTCTGCTTCTAACCTATTTACACTGAATGGAAAAGGGCAGCTTGGGCATACAGCTAAAATATCATAATAAAACTATACAATTTATCTGTAAACTAATGCACTACTCTCGTCTCCATTTTCAGAAGTGATAATATTTGTGCTTCTACATTGGAAGATATATTTGTTTCCGAACAGACTTTTTTCCTGGCCTCAGCCTACATGTGCACTACCTGCTCCTTACTCTGTTTCACTCTGACTAAATCAACGGGTCAGTACACAAAACCTGTTTTATCCTTTAGAGCGGTGATCCCAGGGGTTTAGAAAGATTTCCATTTCCTTTGTAATTCTCTAAATCTTTGTTAATCTGTAAGTCTTTGCTACACTGCAAGTCTTGACTTCTTATTAAGATTTGTGCAAATGATTGCATATCCACTCGTGGGTGATATTTCTTGCTTCTATGGTATTTAAAGGTGTCAATGATGTCCCATCTAAATTTTTATTACAAATAAATCTGCCATTTGGTCTTAAGGAAGGTTTCTGCATGATTGCCCACTGAAGAGTCTGTTTTCAGACTGTTTTATTGTCTACCACCAAGGGCTTAGTCTCCATACTTTAACAATTTATACTCCCAGAGTGGCCACACACTGGCTATAATGTGAGTGATAAGTTGTTTCCTAGAAGGTGGCAAGTAAAAAAGGTTTACTCATTTTTAGTGATCTGGAATTTTCTGATATAACACAGATTCCAATGCTTCTCCTTGCAGACGAAATTACAAAAGCAGTCTGAGATCTGAATAAAAAGTGTCAAACACACACAAAAAAGTCAACCAGATGCTTCAGGCACACTGCTGGGCCCAGTCAGAGCTGAATTCCTCTGCTGAAGGGGACTGAGACCTACAGCCAGTTTACAGACAGCACAGAAAGAAAGAGACAAACGGTAACCTCAAAGTTACAGCTGCTCAAACTGAATGTACGATTACTACAGAACTGATGTACAAACTAAAAAGTATCTGTGTGCTCCTTTATCTGTCCATGAGAGTGTCACTGTATGAGGAGGGGAATTTAATTTGGCTATCCTTAACAAATACCATTATTAGGACAAAAGTTATACTCTCAGAAAAAAAGAGGCACAGAAGCTGTCACTGGGGCAGTACCCTTTCCAAAAGTAAATCTTTGTACATTATTTACACCTAATACATTAAATTAGTCCTAAAAGTATACATATTAATACCTAAATGGTAAATATTAGTACATTTTTAAAGGGTTAGTTCACCAAAAAATGAAAATTCTGTCATTAATTACTCACCCTCATGTCGTTCCAAACCCGTAAGACCTTCGTTCATCTTTGGAACACAAATTAAGAAATTTTTGATAAAATCATACGTACGCTTTCACTGAACGTAATCAGCGTTGTTTACGTTCAGTAGACAGCGCACACATGCTGAACGTAAACAATGCTGATTACGTTGATTACGTTCTGGGGTACTCTCCAAAATGGCGGAAAACGGTAACCTCGGGGAGAAGAATTGTTGAATACATTATGTTATTATTGTTTTTCTTTGCGCACAAAAAGTATTCTCGTAGCTTGATAAAATTACGGTTGAACCACTGATGTCACATGGACTATTTTACCAATGTCCTTCCTACGTTTCTGGACCTGGGAACATTGCAGTTGCATTGCTGTCTACGGAGGGTCAGAGAGCTCTCAGATTTGATCAAAAATATCTTAATTTGTGTTCCGAAGATGAACGAAGGTCTTACGGGTTTGGAACGACATGAGGGTGAGTAATTAATGACATAATTTTCATTTTTGGGCGAACTAACCCTTTAATGGTACTGACAGTTTTTATACTTACTTTTAGGCCTCTAACACTAGCTTGCACTATTCTTTTTCTATTCTATCTGTTTTCTTTCTATTTATTACATAATAAATAAAAAAAAACTTGCTACGTGTGCTGAGACTTGTTATAGTACTTGCATACCATTGCTCTTTTGTTGATTTTGATTGCTTCCATTGTCCTCATTTGTAAGTCGCTTTGGATAAAAGTGTCTGCTAAATGACTAAATGTAAATGTAAATATACATTTCATTCCTAGAAAAGATATATAAAAAAAAGTTGCCAAAAGGCTAAAATCTATGCTGTCACTTAAAGTGTGCACTGAAAAATGTATTCCATTAAGAAATCTTTCAAGCCTATATGAACCAATTAGGCAACAAGTGTCTATATTAAACAAGCAAAACTCACTTGCTAGATTTTCGGAAACAGTTTGTAGTGATGTTTAATTTATGGAAAGTCTAACTAATAATAAAAATAAAACATAAAATTTATATAAAAGATATAAAAAAATTGATTTAAAAAAATATTAAATCTAAACTGACATGAAGCCTTAAACTATATTAAGCCTTTTATACACGTGTACAGTAAGCGACGCCACTGCAGCCTCATCTAAAAGAACTGAGAATTGAACTAAACCTCACATCAAATCACCCACTCATTATTTCATTCAAGAACTATGCTGTACTTCCTAAAAACACTTTGAAGCCTTTCAACCATGTCAGTCCTTTACTAATGTACAGCATTGTACAATAAAAATAGGTTTTAAGAAGTAACATCTATTGAAACACCCCATTTGCAGTAGTTGCCTAATTCAAAGAATGGTTGAACTGCTGACCTCCCCAAAGATGAGACGTCTTCTTGCTTATGTCATCAAGACGTCTGACTTTCCCTGCCCCCCAGGTGAAAGCTCCTCTAAAGTTGTGAAAGTGTTGAAAGGTGGATGTGCTATATCTGAAGTTAAAGGATGAGCAGATCTGGCAGGTGGATTGGCTATTAGAGTAGAAAAGATAAGAGAGGCAGATGTGGGTAATCTGTTCCACCTGTGCTAACTTTCCTACCTGGGAAGTACACATGACCACACACTCACACAGGAGAAGACGTCCCTGGGGAATCCCTTAGTTATCACCAAAGGGCAGAAATAAATAAGCATTGTTTGGAAAAGTTATTTTCCTTCTAGCTGGAGGTGCTTTATCATGGGTGGTTTATTCTCAGGCATTCATCACTAACAGTAAAGACACTCATACCGACTGAAATATAATACTTACTTAAACCAGAGTGTCTCAAGAGACTTGCAACATAGCAGCTAATAATATAAAATAGGCATTCCTAAAGCAGTCAACATCCCTGTTAAAAATGATGGAGTTTCTGTAAAGCCACATGATGAAACCAAACATCAGTCCCAATGAATGAGGTCAAGACTGCAGCAGAGCCATTAAGACTACAAATTAGTAGTCCCAGCACCTTATGTGTACTCCCTAAACACCCACATTTCCCAGGTGACCCCTTCAGAAAGATAGTCTTACTTGACAATAACTCTCTCTACATGCACAACCCTCATGATTTACATTTAGAATCACAATTACTCATGAATTACAGGACAGCTTTGCCAAACAGATGAGAGATGGCCATGATGGAAAAGTCCAAGGGAGAGAACTAAGGTCAGTATATTAGTCGAGCGCTGACTGATGCCCAATGAGTTATTAAGTCACCCATCCCATACATTCATATTGCATACAGCCACATGTGCAATTACGGAACAATTATTCAATTCCATGGCATAAGCACAAGACAAATATCCCCCAAGTGGACTGAAAATAAACCATTAGAAATTCAGCAGCTTTTTTATGTTGCTGTCGCACTTACAATTAACTTTCCCTACTCTTAGTGAATTCCAGCTAAATGAATCTTAATAACCATTGAATTTCACTGTGACCCAAAGGAGTTTAAAATAGAGAGCAGTGAAAACAAAGCAAGTCTAATTTTAGGCAATCATGATTAGTGTACAGCCCATGTCGCACATTACCAATGGGAATCATTTCAAGATCTTGTCAAAATGTCCACATTGCTGCGTGTAGCATATGGTATCATTTATACACTGCACATAGTAAAATTCCAAAGAGTCCACTGCTGCTGTATATGAAAAGATAGAATGTTGTGTCAAAGTAATCATGTATAATGGCTGTGCAAGCCAAAAGCAGTACAGAGACTAAGAACTAACAGACATATCCTCTCTTGTGTGCAGACAGGTCACTTTGGAGCTCCTGAGGTAAGAAGAGATACTAAAATGAATTGCACCAATTGAGTATATTGATCATGATGTACATGATCAAATTAGAATGTTTAAAATCATAGCTCTTTCTCTCTTCTTTCTTTCTTTCTTTCTCAGTGGGGTGACAGAAGAAACAGAGAGAAACTACTTCTGAAGTTGTTGACCCAATGACACCTGCTTCTACTTTTTATGGCAATATAATTGTGCTCTCAAATAATTTCCATTTTAAACCAGTGATGTGTGAATGCACAATTACAAAAAATATATAAATTGTCCCTTTTACTTCAAATGTGAATCATTTCCTATCTTTTGTTCCAAAATGATGCTCAGATGTTAAATAGATGAAAATGGTGAATATTCTAGAGGTACACTGTTTTCAACAACCCTGTTAAATTTGAACACCAATACAAAAAAGAGGGCAGTCATATATAATGATGAGTAAGGTCAAAGGTAAGCACCATGTGACATCATACCCTAAACCATTAAAAGCTTTTAAAGATCTGCCCAAGCTTTAGAGTTTGAAATACCTTTTTGAATTATACACATTTCATTCACATGTTTCTGCAAAGGTATCTTAATAAAATGAATCAGGATATAAATCTTGGCTGAGTTCTACAACAATCTAGTCACCACCAGTGCCAGTGATGTTGACTGCTGATATGTTGCCTCAATGCTCCAAGCAGTAATACGAAGTTTTAAAATAATTTTAGAAACATGTATTATGAGTTTCCTTTATGCTAAATAAAGGGCAACAGATCATTACCAATAAATAATGCCTTAAACCAATTTCTCTACTTTTAATACGACGTGGAAATGAGCTTGCCGGTGCTTACCATGGCATCCCCTTGATCTTGGTCATAATCATAATCATAGTAGTCGTGACTTGACTCCAAAGCAAGGTTTTCATAAATCAATGCGAGACAGAAAACAGAAATTCCAAATAAGTGCATTTTAGAAGAAGAAAAAAATCTCTGAAGTCTGAGCAGAGTCTGTTGGAAGTTCTTCTTTTTTCAGCTTTCAGCAGCAGGTTTCTAGAAGACTCTGTCCTTACACTAAAATAACACCCATGTATACATCCAACATTTTAAGAAGGCACTTCGATACTGGTCCATGGAACGCACTGTGAGCTCGTCCCTTCACAAACGGCTGTGAACATCCACTCCGTGCGAAGATATTGTGGAAGTGCGCGGAGCGCTCAATGGCATGTTTTATGCAATTTCACGCTGTTACTTTGGATCCTTCTCCCTCCCCCTCTCCGTTTTCCCCCAGCCTGCCTCTCCGTTCGCCGTTAGACACATTCCGAGATATCAAGAGAGGAATATGAGTCGTGGCACGCGCGCTTTCTCAGGTGTCAACTACAGCACGTCAAACGCATTGTGTAAACGCACAAGCGCACTGAAAGAACCTATACAGTTGCTGCTTTTTTGTGTAAGGTGAAAGGTCAAATAAAGGAACAGTTTATCCCAAAATGAAAACTGAGACATCATTTTCTTACATTGTTTTTTATTTATTTTTTTATTTATTTTTTAATGCAATGGAACGGGGACAGGGGCATTGATGCTTCAAAAACTGACGCAAGAGCAACGTAAAAGTAGTTAATGTGACTATTGTAATTATTGTGTGCATTGTAATTATTGAATTAACAACTGTAAACCTATTCCTATGTTTAAAAAAATATACAAATTTAGCCTACAACTTGTTGACAATTAAGTTGTTTGCTGCAAACTCAATTTAAACTGTTAAAAATATAATTATAAATAAATACAATAAATGAAAATAATAAATAAATAAAAATAAAAACAATTAATAATGCAGGCTGATTTATGGACGGTTATTTGGGCCTCTCTGATTGGGACTGGGTTAATTGGGATGACTGTCAAAAAGTGGAACAGTTTACCTGAATTCACCCTATGCGAAATGAACTGCTTTGGGGAGGTTTTAATTCGGTTGGAGGGTTCTTCTTCATAGGGGGTTTTAGTCCTCATGTTCAGTGAGTGCTCTTCTAATGCTGTGGAATGCAAGTCCCACTCGAGTTATTGTGTTCCATTCACCGCTGTCAAATGGTCGCATTTAATTTTGTGATCTTCTCAAATACTACTTTAAGTAGCAGGCTAAACATGCACTCTCAAATGCATTCAGTGTTAACACTAAAGGTCTAGTTTGAATAGGCTCAGGGCTAATGGTTTGTGAATGATAACCTAATTAGCCATGACACTACTGAATAATTCAATGTGAAAATACCTGATAATGCACATTTGATCACTGGGGTTGTTTTCCAGGGGACTAGACAGAAAATGTTGCTTTTGTTTGCTATTAAATTAAACAATCTATAACAATAAATGATTATACCAAATTGATGGTGAAAATGGCCAAACAATTGCACATGCAGATGGCATAGTAATTCCAAATCATTGTAAATTACCAACAAAAGGCTTGTCAGTCATATACTTGGCAGTGGCCAGTTCCTTTGCCTACTTATTTGACTTCTCTTTGCTCATGCAAAGTCTTATTCTGCTTCCCTGAATGCTTTGATTGGTAAAATACTAAAAGGTCAAAGTTCAGACTGGTTTTATAAGGATTAACAGGGGTCACCTTTGCTTTGACGTTACTAAACACATTACTTCATTGGAGAAGTTATAACATCATCAGCCAGGGTCTGGAGCTGCTTTAAAAGTTCAACCACAACTGATATAATCTTATTTAGAAGGCATTTGATTTCCTCAGTAGGACTTTTGACATACTTAGGTTTAGTCCCAAAGAGTTTCAGAAGCTGACTGTAACTTTCATGCTGTTGTTCTACATGGACGTTTACATCCTTTATCCTTTACATTTTTCCCTCTTTCGGCCCACATATACCAAGTAATCAGGAATCGGTGTCCTTATTTAAACTCTCTGTGCTTTGTCCTCCAGAACTCTTTTCAAATGAAAGCAGCTTTGTGTAGGATTTGTTTAATTCCTTTATTATAAGAAATGACTGACCTATACGAGTTGAAAACTGATGTGAGGATTTTATCTGACATTATTTGTTTCTTTTTTCTGAGCTTTTTTTGTGACACATTAAATATGATGCATCAAAAAAGATGCATTTATTGCTGTAGTGTATGGTTCCCTTGATAAATTATCTTTATAGTATAAAAACTAAAAACAATATATTTTTGTCACTTCTTAAAAAAATAATAAAAATTAAGAAAATTACATCACACATATACAGCAAGACTCACCTATCACTTAAAGAAAAAAACAACAAAAAAATCGTGTCTTTGTTAAAACAGCACTTTTGGCCGTTTAGGGAAGATGTAGCATATGAAGTCCAGCTTAGGTCTTCCTTTGTTTTTAATTTCTAGCTTCTGCTTGAATGACAGCTCGGTAAATTTGCTGGCGCTAAAATATTTATATATCTCTACCCTCCATAATTAATATAGTTGCTATCAATGAGACCAGTTTAAACTATAATCACGTAATTTACATCTCTACGATGATTGGCTCATATACAAAGGCAGACTATTTTTTTCTAAACACTCTATTACCACTGAAAGTCAAATACTTGATGGTTATTGGCTACGGAGGCAAAAGTCTATGGATGTATGTAATTAGAGTTCATCGATAGAATGTTCACGAGAAAGAGCAGCAGTGGTTCTGACTTCAGTAATATTTTATGGTGTTACAATGGTGAAATTACAAACATGGAATACACATTCTGGGATGTGAAATCAGTAAATTTTATTAGCATTAAATGGTTCTTCTCCCATTTTCCTCCTCAAAATCTTGGGTATGCTGTGCCTCCCTTGCTTCCCCTGATGAGCCGCCACTGGTGATTTGTAATATAGCTGGTGTTTAGAAGTGTATTACACCTGGCTCAAACACAGGTCCACTGAATTCAGTGTATGCCAACTATGAGCACTTGAGTCAGTCTGTGGCCCTGAAAAGGAAGGCAACACCATAGAAATTTATGAGGGTCCTCATGGCACAGTGACCCAGCACTGTCTAACACTTTTGCTTGTCTACTCATGTGTGCACAGCTTGTTCCCAGACACTGGGAATTGCTCTCGCCGGAACTGGGAAACAATGGGTGTGGGAGTCCTGTGACTGGAGCCGCTGCTTTGGGAAGCGCTTGACCCTGTTAATGCTGGAATGTGTGGTCTCCCTTACGTTTCAAACAACGGTTGTGCTAGGAAGGGTAGATCGATGAGGATAAGATGGCAAGGTCACGGGGGGCCAGGCCTAATCTTGCACTCTCCAGCATTCCTTGGCATCCTCATTGGTTTGTTTGTAATAAATTATAGAGTATTTTGACATTGAAGGCCTACGGTTAGGGACATACATACTTCTGCATTTAGTGTTTAATGTGTACACAGTTAAGTTAAAATGATTAGAAAATCCAAATCTTATTTTTTGTAAATAAATAAATGAATAATACAGTTGAGCAGATGTCTCCACATCAAAAAAATGACACAATAGGACTGAGGACCAAGAGGAGGGCCGTGTTCCAGAGAATAAGATTGGAAACGTGTTGTGACTGAGATAAGGAGGGGTTTTAATGCTTCTTTGTTTCACAGTTGACAGCTGACACAATTAATTAACCTACAAATAAGGATAATTGCCATGCAAGAGCATGTCTTGTGTGTGTTAATATAAATGTGTTTTTGATAAGAACAGTCACAGCTAGCTGTGTAAACATACATTTTTATTCTTCAAATTCATGCCACTGGAAAGTATTTATACATAAAAATACAGTTGCCTTAAATAAGAAACAATTACCCATAGCAGAAACCATGTCAGTTCTCATATCACCCATATCACTGTCAGACTCTGTTCCGTGTTTTGTTTGTGTTTTGCTCCCCTTGTGTTTTCATGCCCATATTTGGTCCTTCTCGTTCCTGTCCTTATTTGTTCCAGGTGTCCCCTTTTCAGTTCTATTGATCCCAGGTGTGTCTTGTCATCCCATCGTCATGTCATTTGTATATAAAGTGTTCCATGTTATCAGTTCGGCGTCCGTTATTGTGAATGTCTGTTGATGTCTACCTCCTTTGCGACGTGTGGTTTCCTGGTTCCCTTGATATAATTAAAATCTGCTTATTGATGTACTCCTGGTCTCCTCGTTCTGTGCTCCAACACAGTAGCACCGTGACAGAATACCGGACCAAGGACAGTAAGTGGCGCCCCCTCTTCCCGTGTTTGTTTTCTGTTTTTAAAAGTGTTTTGGCTTTCCGTTTGTTTCCCCCCGAGATCATGGAAATCGCCGCTCGTTTCTCCGCCTTAGCCCGCTGAGATCTCCCCTTCTTCGAGTACGCCTGGGAATTCTGCGTGTTCACCGTGGCGACGGCATTGGATAATGCCACCATCAATTCTCTGTTCTGACTCGGGGCCAACTACCATCGCCCCGTGGACCTCCCAGACACCAAGGGACTACGCTGGAGGGAAGGGATCTTCCGGTGTCTGGGGAGTGTCCGGGCTCGAGTCAGAGCCAGCCCGCCGGCCGCGGCTCAGTTAAGCCCGCCGGCTGCTCCGATGTCAAGTCCGCCGGCCGCGGCATTCTCAAGCCCGCCGACCACGCCTTTCACCCCGAACCTAAAGGGGAATCTAACGAGGAGAAGGCGTTCTTCCCGTTCCTGTCCTTTGTTCCTGGTGTCCTTTTTTCAGTTCTATTGATCCCAGGTGTGTCTCGTCATCCCATCGTCATGTCATTTGTATATAAAGTGTTCCATGTTATCAGTTCGGCGTCCGGTATTGTTGATGTCTACCTCCTTTGCCACGTATGTTTTCCTGGTTCCCTTGATATAATTAAAATCCGCTTATTTATGTACTCCTGGTCTCCTTGCTCCGTGCTCCAACACAGTAGCACCGTGACAATCACCAAAATTATTAATTTTGGTTATAATTATTAATCTGTTGTACAATTCATTTTAAAAATAAATTATATTTATTTAGCATGGGTTAAATTAATTAATCAAATGTGACCATAAATATTTTTCAATATTGATGTCTTATCTAATTATAACATAATGATCATGTAACACTGAAGAATGGATTCAGTTTTACCATCACAGGAGATAAATTACATTTAAAATATTACAATACAAAATATTTCACTATTACTGTTTTTACTGTATTTTGGATCAAAAAATGCAGCCTTTGGAGAGCTTAAGATATCATGATGGTACTACATACCAATATACTGTGTGTGTGTGTGTGTGTATATATATATATA